TAAACATCAGACGTGTGCCACATATGAGCTGCAGTGACCAGAGGCGGAGAGAAAGAAACCCTCAGATATGATGAAGAGAGACAGCAGAGGAGATGGTGTCACAGTGAGAGAGCTGATGTCCTTGTTGCTCTGATCTGTTTGTCAGTCTCAACACGTGGCTCTGCAGTGAGGCTGCTGGGTGGCATTATGTTTGACTAGATACACAGACAATGGTTTGTTTGTAAAACTGATGATGGCATAACTGCTGGATGATGCAAAAGCTTGTAAAAATGTATCTGAATAATAAAAGCTTTCATATTATTACACAAGCCATTGGGTTTTATCTGGGATTTTTTCAGTCGGTAGCACGAGACCAAGCTGCTGCACTGCACTCAAACTGTGATGTCAGCAAACTGGGACGTCATGCAGACATCAATTTAAAATCATGTTTAGAAAAACAGCGTCGGGCATTGCGACAGTCAACTCTGACTTCCTTTAAAGATACAGTTCAGCATTGTGGGATGTACACTTTCTTGGCGAGAGCTGATGAGAAGATCGATACCACTCTCATGTCTCCAGGAGGCAGCTGGCTTAGTTTACATAAAGACTGGGAGCAGAGGAAAACAACTAGCCTGCTTCCATTCTCTGTGCTCACAAAGATAATCCTTACCTGGCTCTTTGTATTTAGCGTTCAGACATTAGTGGTACTGATCTTCTCCTCTTAACTCTCAGCAACAATGCAAATAAATGTATTTCCCAATATGTCGAGTTGCAGCCAACTTTCATATCTGAACATAACAACAAGAAAACATAATCCCTGCTAACACCACATATATGACCACAAAACAAAAGCAGTAACTATTCATTATTGTGGAATATCTCCTGTAAAGCAGGGTTGAAGTCTGAAGTGTACGGAAATTAATTGAAGCCAGTGGCTGCCTGGAAGGGAGGAAATCAATCTAAAGACTTCTGGAAAATAACCAGCAGGGATGTAAAGTGTACAGGACCTGTAACCCAACAGTATGAAAAACGAGTGGTGGTGGCTCCTTCACTGACACCATCTCTCGGCTCATTTCTTTCTGTGCCGAATGAAAACAGTTGGTCATTACCTATTATCTGGGTATAAAGTCTTCTTTTTTCCTCTCCTTTTTTTTCTGGCATTCTGATTTACGTGCAGGTCCTGGCACAGCAAGGAAACTCCCTCCAACATTAGCTAGTAGTTAGTTTAGATCAGCCGTTACCCATGCACTTTTCACGTTTTTGACTTATTATGAATTCTAACACAAGCAACATTTCAATAGAGCAACAATAAATAAAGTTTGTTGTTTTAAGAATTAATAGGGAGTATTTGGCTATCCCCCCCTTATGGTCGGCCCTGTAGTGAGCGAACAACGACACAGCAAGTAATGTAACTAACGTTAGATAGGTTGTGGGTTAGCAAACTGTTGCTGCAGTTGCTGATGACGAGACGGTTTCCCAAAGCCAGCACATCGGCTCCAGACAGCGACACAGCTCTCCTGCTACTACAGCTAACTTCAGAACAACAGCATATCCTGGCAAACCAGACAGTTAGCTGAGCCTTCGTTGGCAAGTACTCTAACACAGCCTGACACACAAATCCTGGCTGGAATAGTGTTGTGTGCTCGCGCCAAGCCACTATTCCTACTTACTGAGCCAGGGCTGTGCACAAACACCAGCGCACACAGACCGTACGGACACCCAGCAGACTGTGAGCAGATATTCACTGAATTTGACAAAAAGTGCATTGGATTAGGATTGCTTACCCCACCTTTAATACCACAGTACATGGGTGGTAGCAGCATCAGCAAACTATTAGTACCATAAACAAGCAACCTGGGTGCCTGCCCCCCCCACCACACACACACACACACACACTATGACTCATTGCATCCTCACAGTGCATCTATTAAGAGGTGATACCGGTAAAGTGAGAGAGTTGACATTTGTGAGCATTTAAGCCTGTAGAGACTGTAGTGTGCATTAACACTACAGGGCCAAAAGCATGTGGTCAAACTATTTAATCCTATTAAGGGAAGTCTTCATGCTACAGCATACTAAGATATTTTAGACAGTAGTGTTTCCAACAAGTGTGTGTTTGTCCCTTTCCTGTTAAACATGACAATGCTCCCGTGCACAAAGCAAGCCATAAATAAATGGTTTTCCCAGTTTGGTGTGGAAGACGTGGACTGGCCTCAACCCCATCCAGCTCCTTTTGGGATGAACTGGCACAGAGACTGTGAGCCAGACCTGATCACCCAGCATCAGTGTTGCTCTTGTGGCTGAATCGGAGCAAATCTGTGCAGCCAGGTTCCAACA